CCCTGCTGTAGCCACCAGGGACTGTCCCAGTCCTCAAAGTTCTCCGCATCTTTTCTGAAGATGTAGAGAGCTTTGAATCGATTCAGACTTTTAAATTGTTCCCCTGATTCGATTCGGAGATTTGGCCACCGAATCAGGCCAAATCTCCTCCAAATCAAGTCACCACCTGAAGCTTTGTGTATCCCTACTTGTATAATTCTTTTCTCCTACGTAATGAATCCTTTTGTTGTTTTGTCTGCTTACTGATTGTGGAAAGAGTGATCTCTGGGCAAGTGATATTCCAGGCTAGCTAGCGGGTTCTGCAGTAAGGGGGCCCTAAAATTTCTTTCACAACCCAAACAGGAGGCCACCTAGGGCTGGTAGAGAGTCCCCTGCTGCATCTGTGAGGTCTGGTATGAGGGCACTGGTGCTGAGGCTTGCAGGGATAAGGAGTTACTCTGGAGCAAGCCTTTGTCTGTTCCCTGAGACAAATAAAAGGACAGAGGGGAGACATTCAGGGCTCTGGGGGCATCCCACAGATGGGTTTGTGACACTCCCAATGACTTTTTGGCATGTTGCCTTTAATATTTGTTGAATTTTTACATGGATCATCCACAGTAGAATAGTTTCTGTCTTATTGGAAGAAGGGGGTGGATCAGAACCCTAAATGCTCTTTCTTTTGGTTCCACATATCTTCTCTTCTTGCCTGGTAGCTTGATTAAAAAGGCTGGGGTGTATTTCAGGCAGTGCCAAGCTCATGGTCTGATGGTGAAAGCACTCTGCAGGGATGCAAGAGGCAGGTTCAGGTCCCTTTGGACTGAGAAGGCCAGACATCACAACTCCCACTCTGACCTGTTAAGCTGAAAGGTGGGAGAGCCCTCCACCAAACAGTTGCAAGTTGGAGAAAAATCACAACTAAAGTTTTGGGGTCTTATCCCATATTACGCATATACCTGAGCTCAGAGGGGAAGTGTGGGACAAATGTAGCTTTTAAGTACCAATAAAATCTAAACTGCATGATGGACAAAATAGTAACTTAGGCAACTATGTGGCATTGATGCATGTAAAGGTTAAATAGGACGTGGCCCTATATTTTTATCTACTGAAGTGGGAACTACATTCCCTTTTTCCTAATGTACATCAGACTGACAAACTGTGAGATTGTATTCTAAATTACTCTTGAATTATATTTCAGACAAGAAAAGCAAATTTGTATTGATTTGATTTCCTTTTCTTGGTAATAAACCACAATGATTTGGGTTTTTCATATGCTACAATTTTCTTCAAAGCAAATATGAAATCAGTCACAGAGTATATAGTGGGCTCTGTTACATGCTCTGTAAAAAAAAAAAAATTAAACCCAGTGTCATGTCATTTACTGTCCAGCCTTTCACTTCCCTTTCAGTATTTTTGGCATGTAAATCTAAGAGTTTCAAATCAGCAGTTATCTGGGGAGGAATCGTTTTTTCTTGACCACTTGAAAACATATTACTAAAAAAAAAAAGATCAGATTAATTACCAAGAAGTGGGTGGGAACTTAACAAAAAACAGCATGATACCTTATCCCTGGAGAGACGGTACTTTTCTTAGAAAAGTTAAGTCCCACAGCACCTCTCCCCCACTTGCTGAGATAGCAAACCCCTGTGTTGCAAGGAGGGTCCTTATCTCGTTTGCTGGGGTGGTGACACCAAAGAAAAAATATGCTTTAATGACCGTGCACCATTTAAACCCATGCCTGTCAGTGGCAAAATAATACCCTGCCACTGGCAGGTGTCAGAGCCTTTTTGTCACCAGGCATGAGTGCAGGCTTGGAGATCTCCATTTGACGTCAGGAAGGAGCAGGGAAATAAAAAAGAAAGTCAAATTGCTTAACTGGGATACATCTTTCCAACTATGTTAAGTTTCAAATGAGCTGATATTTTTAAATATAAAAATGCAGTTGCAATAAGAAGAGTAAAAACCATTTAGTAGGTAAATAGCCATATAGTATAGCTGAGAGATCCTCTACCAGCATCAAATAAGCTGGTGAGTTTGCACCTATACATGGCAGGCTTGGAGAAGGAAAACTCTTAAATGCACAAATGAATCTTACAGTGCAAACACTGATTCAGGAACACAGCAGTGTAGTGCAGATCACCATCCCTCCCCCAGCATCTTGTAGTCGTTCCACAGTTTCCCATGCTTGCTGTGAGGGGACAACATGGGACCCTTAGTTTCATAGTTTCTAGGGTCGGAAGGGACCTGAGCAGATCATTGAGTCCGACCCCCTGCCATGGCAGGAGAGAGTACTGGGGTCAGTTCTCAGTTACCACGGTGCATCTGTATCCCGTGGTATGTTTAGGACCCTCCCAATGCCACTGTCACAAAGAACTGAGGCTCAGTGGGGAGAGAATCTGTCCCCTTGGCTCTGGAACTGGTTTTGTAATGTTTAAAAAATAAGGAAACGTTTAAAAAGTATAAAAGCAAATTAACAACAAATTGTGACCAGCTAGTATATCTCGACTGCTCCTGTGAGCCTCGTAGGCCATCTTCTTGGAATGTAGCAGCCTGATTCCTTTTGATCTTCAACCTGCATATGAACATTTCTGGGTTCACGTCTGAAGCCTGTATGCACCTATATGACTTGCATAGCTCCTGAGAATGCATGCTACCAGGACAGTGCCACAGCTTTTATTTTCACAGTCATCAATATTTACTGCTGTTTCAATAATCAAATGTTTGTTGCTTTTCCTACCTAGATGCTTTTGTTGGAGGAGTCATTGGGCTCATTTTCGCTTATATTTGCTACAGACAGCACTACCCACCTTTGGGTAACACATCTTGTCATAAACCTTACGTCAGCCTCCTTGTTCAGAACTCAGCGAAGACAGAAGAGAGACCTACAGCAGATAATGCTACTGGCCTGCCTCTTGAGGGAATAACCGAAGGACCAGTATGACTAATGAACGGACAGGATGAACTTTTAGCCCTTCTCACACTCCTCCACACCAGTCTCTTAACATGATGTTTCTTATGGTACATTTGTTCTTTCTTTTTAATACTATAACACCCTTCTACTTTGAAAAGCTCAGCTCTTCTTTCATACTGTTTTCTTTTTCAGCTGTCCGTTTTCAGTCTATTGCAAGATTAAAACAGAAAGTTAAAAGAAGGAAAATCTCGCGGCAAAGTTAGTTAAATGAATAGCTTAGCAAGGATGTATTTGAAGATCCAATAGACCTGAAAATAGTTGATCTTGTGAAACGCTGAGTATTGCCTGGGAATTTCTGATTGCCTTGAACTCTCATGACTGCAGTGGGTGTTGAGGGCTCTCAGCATTTTCGATGAGATATCCAGCACCTGTCATAACCAACTCTTGGTCTGTTTCTTCATATAAATTTGATATGTAAGGAAAACATCCTTATGTATAGCTTGTGGTCTTTTCTCATAATAAATCTCCACGTGACAAGAATATTTTGTGCTAGTCGTGAAGTTTTGGCAGGGTTCTTCTGAACTGCTAGTGAAACGGTAGTTTAAAAGTATGAAGTTTGGCACCTGAAAAAGCCAAGCTTAGGCACATCACTAGTTTCAAAAGGACAGTGCTGACAGCAGAGCTATCCAAAGCTATTGAAATTGTCAGCTTGCAATAACACATGTTTATAGGGTGGATTAGAAAATGGATATTAAAACATTTGGATTTTCCTGTGAGCTCTTGCAGCAATTTCTTTCAAAATGAAGTGAAACTTAATGACACCCATGACATCCGACAGGAAAAAAAACGAGAACAAAAACACATGATCTAAAACTGTGAAGATGCAGAATCGCTATGTTTTCTGTTAATCTCGGTGTGCCACAATTGTCTGTGTCAAAGTCTCTAATGACACACTGCAGCAATGGTGATTTCAAGGAACATAAGGACTTCGAGTTTGTGACCATTGGTTTTTCTGTTCATAAATGCTTGTGTTAGTTTACAGCACTATAAATATACTTGGTGGAAGTCTGACAAAAAATGTTCTGTTTGATATTTTCTGCATTTTCAACTCACTTAAGGAGAGTGTTCACAAGGGGCATTTGTGGCCAGTCCAAAGCCCATTGAAATTCATGGAATCTTACTATTCTACTCTTTGTTGGCTTTGGGTCTGGCCACTGGTGGGGAGGAAGTTAGCATGTGATGAACAATAGGTTTATTATTTTGAGGTTTGTATTTCCATGACTTATTTGTGTACTATGCAGTATCAAAAATACATCATGCTCCAGTGAAATGATTTATCCTCGGATGGCAGTGTGTTAAATTCCAGCATTTCCTTCAGTAGATGTATTCTGAAAGAGCAGGTGAATGTTCTCAATCACATCCTAACAGTCAAACCGTTCTTGCCTAGATTGGCTGGTTAATACAATCAAGATAGCTTTGATAAACAATACCCATTATGGTGCTTCAGACTGGAGGAGACTGCTGCCATAGTTACTTTATACCTAATGTGTTCCTGTTGGAATATGTATTGGCCTTGTAGGCGTTTTGTGATTCAAACAAGTTGTGTATGTCTATGTAAAGGCTTGTCATTCCTTTTTGTCAGAAGTAACAACTTTGTAGTTTGGTTTTGGTTTGTTTTTTTTAGAAGTGCCATTCCCTGATTGGCAATGCTTGAATTTTTATAGTGAGGGAGAAATAAAAAAGTTATGAGCCCATTTTTAAAAATAAATTTAAAAAGCAATTGGACTCAAGCTTAGTGTACATATGAATGAAAAATGAAAAGAAACATAAAGGGGAAATGATCTACAACACAACATAACAGGGGCAAGTCCACTAGGGTTCTACATTTAAAACTTACGTAGCTGTGCCAGTAAGATGTATGATTTTATAACTATGCCAGTAGAGGACCTAGTATAGGTGCAAGTATACTAGAATTACTTTACCTGCACTGGTATTACTATGCCAGATTGCAAATTATAAGCACTGTTATGCTGCTTTAGTTGCATTTATATTAAAAGTTTTGCCAGTAAGTCTGCAAAACCATCTAATGCAGGGAAAAAAAATCCCCCTAAAAAACAACACAATGTGATAGTGTGTGATACTTGCCTTTCTATAGAGCTTTAAACCATTCCAAGAAATTCTGTAACAAGGATATAATTTTCTATTAATTCAGATAGGATGATGGAAAGCCTTAGCACAAGGTTTTAATTTTTATAAATGATATAGGACTTTTTCCATTACCTTTGTGTTTCAGTAGGGGAAAAAATCATCTTGCAAGTTATACACAAACGTTTCAAAAACATTAAATCAAAATGGAGTGTGTATAATGCATTCTGCATGTTTTTATAAGGACTTGGCTTATTCTTAAAAAATGAGTAGGACCTCCAAAATGCGCGTTATAAATTCCCTGTATTTTAATGGCTTTTGATACAGTAAACTATCTTCCCCTTGTTAAGTTGGGATGTGAAAGGTTTACACAGTCTTTAGATGAATAGCAACTGTTAAAATGTTGGAGTATTAAATGTAATACAGCATAAATACTTACATTGCAAGATAAATGAGTGAAAGGACATAGCAAAACATCAAAGAATATAGTATTTTTAATGGGGATATTTCAGTTGAAAGTCATAAAATAGACCATGTACAAGTTTTGATTAAATGTAATTAAAATTATGAAAGATGTAATGAAGTGAAACTTATGGAAGGATCCATAGGAGTTGTAATTACTAGTGCAAGTCAGTATAGGGAAGGCATTTTTGTGGATCAGTGTATTTTAATTTCATGCTCTCTTAATGTGAAGGAAATGTAATGTTGTAATGCACCAATAAAACTACACATGAATGTGGGTTTTTGTACATCTGCATGTTATCATTTTTTTGGTAAAGAGAAGGTAACCAATTTGGTTTCATTAGCAAACCATACTGAATGTAGCAAACTGCCAGCCTCTCAGTAACTACAGTCATTTAGTGGCAAGCAGCAATTCTGAGAGCTATTTACTATTGCTGTATGAAAGGAGCTGCCCTTTTAGTCAGAATGTGCTATCCACTTTTCATGCAGGAAAACACAGCATTTGTATCTTAGCCCTTGAAGTTAGTCTCAGATATACAAGCAGCTGAATCACAGCCCACCCCTTTGTCGGTGAAGTTCTGTATATCATAACATGCCAAAAATTCCCGACTTTATAAATCATCTGATTCACAAAAAAATGAATATAATGGAAAACTGAGGGAAAATACTAAAACTCAGAGAATATTGGAACAATTATGAAACAGATGAACTTCAGAAAATAACTGCTTGGTGGAATGGGAGTACCAGAAGCACAACCAGAAATGTTTATGTTATCTTATCTTATGTTCTTGACTACACATTCAGTTAGGGTCTTGACCACCGTTTTTCGTTCCATGACAGTATATCGTATTTAATGGTGTATAAGTTGAGTTTTGAGGCCCAATCTTTAACTCTTGAAATTCAACCTCAATTTATATACCATATCACCACCCCCTGTGAGTGGCACCAGGCTCAGCACTTGGCCGATGCAGCTGAGGCAATGCTGCTCACAGGGATGGGGGCAGCCAGCTGAGCGCTGAGCCTGGAGCTGCTCACAGGAAATGGGGATGGAGCCAGGCTTGGTGCTTGGCTGGCATGGCCCCATCCCCTGTAAGTGGCGCTGCCTGGGCTGTGCCAACCAAATGCCAAGCCCAGAACTGCTCACAGGGGATGGTGCCATGCCAGCTGAGCACTGAGCCTGGCCCTGTCTGTCCTGCCAAGCTCTGAGCCTGGCTGTACCAGCCAAGTGCCGAGCCTGGTACTACTTGCAGGTGATGGGGTTGGGCTCAATGCTTGGCAGTGCCACTTGCAATGGATGGGGCCAGACTTGGCATGTGGCTAGCGCAGCCCAGGCAGCGCTGCTTGCAAGGGGTAGGGGCACACTAGCCAAGCACTGAGCCCATCCCCGTCCCTATCCCCTGCAAGCAGCGCTGAGCTTGGTGCTTGGCTGTTGTGGCCCAGGTAGCACCACTTGCAGGGGATGGGGATGGAGCTGTGCCAGCTGAGCCCATCCCCATTCCTTGTGGGTACTGCTGTGGCATGTGTCCATCCCCCAGGTGCCCAGCCTGCAGTGAGGGCTTGCAGGGGCTGGTATAAGTTGACCTGATATTTCTAACCAAAAAGTTAGGTCGACTTACAAACCAGATCTACGAAATTCCTAACTTTTTGTATCAGAAAGATGGGGTCGATCATGATATACGGTGAGTACTTTCTAACAGGTGAGAGAGCGATTGTAATTTTTTTCTTGAGAGATGGAAAATTATGAGTTGTTGGTAAAATAAATATACTTCTTTCTGGTTTTCCACTGATATAATTCCATTGACCTTGATGGACCCACTCTGGAGTTATACTTAGTATAACTTAGTATGAAGCCAAACTCTAAGCAGTTACATAATTTCTGTCCATGTACCATATTTCTCCAAATCCAAGGTGACCCTGAATTACAGATGCCCCCTCCCCCCCCAATAATTAGAATCTTCACATGGGAAATGTCTAAATTTGTTAAAATTTTCCATGTGTAGAATATAATTATTGGGGGGGTCATCTTAAATTTGTCCCCTCCTCCACTGTGATGGAGCAAGCAGCAGCAGGGGGGTGTGGTGAGGAGGGCCTGTGGCAGGGGAGTCAAGCAGCTAGATCCCTATCTCTTGCCCCCCTGCTGACTGTCTCCCCCCATTTTCCCTCCCCTATGCCTGCACCCCTTTGCCCCTGCCCTTCCCTGTGGTGCCTATGACACCCCCCAGTGTCTGCCCTCACCCACCATTTCCTCCCCGCACCGGGTCCCCCTTCCTCTCCCCATTCCTCCGCTGCCACTTACCCTGAGTTCTAGGTGCAACTCCAGCCTCAAGCCCACTCTGGAGCACAGAGCACATGCTGGCTCTGGCCACCACTGGTTTCCTGGCCCTTGGCTGAGCCAGGCAACAGCAGGTGGAGCAGGGTCATATGATTTTCTTTAACCAGAACTGGGGCTGGGGTCAGAGTTGCTGCTGCCACCACCACTGCTGCCTAGCCAGGCCAGGTGGAAGGGGATGAGTGCCGCTGGGGCTGGGGCTGGACCCAGACCTGGGACTTGGGGTAAGCAGCAGTGGTGGGGGTGGGGTCAGGCAATGGGATGGGGCAGAGGTGATGAGGGAGCAAGGTATTGGCTATAGCTCCAACTCCAAGTCTGGGTTGAGGCTGGAACCTGAGCTGCAGAAGCTGCCTGCTCTGCTGCCACCTTGTATGTCAATCCAAGATGAGGGACTTTTTTCCCCCCATGTTGAATGGGGGAAAACCCCCTCAATATTAAATTCAACTAAATATGGTACATCACCAGTATTTGATTTGACTTTCTTAAATTATTGGTAGCCAGAGGAGTTGGGGGATCTTTCCAGCTTCTTTGATATGGTGCAAGACGAAGAACCTTTAATAAAAGCTTTTGTCAGGAAAGTTGAACATCTTCCATTTGGGGTTGATTCAAAGCAATTTTTTTCCATTTTTTGGTTCAGCCACCAAACTGAAAAATAAATTGTTCTGATGCCTCTAATATGTAGGTAAAATGTAGGCTTCCAGTGAAATCAGTGGAAAGCTGTCATTGACTCTAGTAAGGATAGTACTGGTGATTCCTTCAGAGAGGTGTTCCAGTAAAGTAGAAAAGAAGAGAAAGAGAAGCTCACCTGTAATAAATACAGTAAAAGGAAACCTTATTCCATAATGTTATAATTCAGCTTCACACAGTGAGCCAAAATCTGCTGTGATTTATCAGTAGTACAGCTCTATGGAATGTAGTGAGTTATATGGAGCTAAGCTTGATACAAAATTTGGCCTGTTAATATTGAAAAAGCAATTACATTTCCATAGCTTGAGACCTAATCACAAAGAACTATGAACTGATGTTACAATACAACTCACTGTATCAGGAGATGGATGCATTTGAGAGGCCTTTAATATAATCTGACTGCTGCCAACAACAGCTGGTTGGAAAGGAGGGGGGAAGGAAGGAAAACCCAAGGAGTGAAAGAAGATCAAATAGAATTTGAGTGGGCAGTAAAAGAAAGGGGCTCCCTGTAAGCCGGGGAATAAAGAGGAGGAAGAGACTCATAGGCAGAGGGAGCATTGGCAGCAGATCCAAGAATATCATCAGTGTCAGTAGAAGCCATTGCCAGAGGACAGTAGTAGTTGCCAGAAAAAAATAATTAAAAAGAACTAATAGACAAAAGAAGAAATAAAGAAGGGGCCTGTGACCCAGTTAGTGCTCAGTTGCAAGATGTCATCATGGAATCAGACCTGAAGAATTGCACTGCACATGTGTGCACAAATAATTGAATGAAAGAAAGAGGGAAGGTGATATCTGTCTTTAGACAGAAATCCCTAGATCATAGTTTCCTTGTAAGAGCAAGGAAATACCCTTAACCAAAGGAAATTCAGACATCTCCAATATGTTGGCTCCCATTGAAATCATTGACTCTACTGAGATCAGGAAAGTATCAATAGCCCTTTTGTGGAGGTGTGAGTACATGTACTGCACTGCAGAAAAAAAGGACCTGCAAAAAAGAGCACCCTTTTTAGTTTCATCTAGGCTAAGTACAGATGGTTAAAAAGCCCAAGTCTGAATCAGTTCAATCTGCCAGTTAATCTAAGCTGTGTAGATTGAATTGATAAGCAAACGTGCAGACACTCACTTCTGATTCTGAAAATGCAGCCACATGCCTGCAGTGGCCCAAGCCAGAAGCCGGTGGGGGGCACTAGAGCACGCCTCCCTGCCTGGCTAGAGCCAAGACTAGCCTGCCCACCCTGCGAGGGGGAGGTTTGTGGGGGACCTGCATCCTGGGCTGCTGGTGGACTGTGAGGTAAGTTGAATCTGGAGGGGATCAGGGACAGAAGTTCAATTGACGAATTTAACTTAAATCAGTTAAGTCTGCTACTACATCTATCCAGGTTTATCTTAAACTGGTTTTGGCCATTTGGAATTTGTAGTGAACTTCTGTGGTATTACAGATTTGAACCAGTTTTAAATCCCTTATACCGGTGTAATTTCTGACCCTAGCCCCAGTGAGCTAAAATATGCACTGCTGCATTTTGTGAGCTGAATTTTAGCCGGTTACTATTAAAAAGCAATTACATATTTGCTTCCATAGCTTGACACCTAATCATAGAGAACTGTGGACTGATGTTACATTTTTATTCCTTTATAACTTTATAACGCTCTGTTTGAGAAAAAAATATATAGGTCCAAATTCATCCTTACCCTGACTTGATGGATGAACTTGACTCTCAGAAAAGTATGAACTGGCTCTTCCTCACCCATAGAGAATCCCCCTGGGAGGCCACTTTGGAGGTGAGGAGCTAAGGGGCCAGGAAACACTCTGTGGTCTTACTCAAAGTTTCCCAATGGGTTTCCTTTCAGTAGGAAAGGATTTGTGCAGTTTAGTGCAGAGTTGGCAGTGTCTAAAGGCTGTGGGCTCTGTAGGTCTCCACAGAAGTATATACAGTCTACTGTAGATATAGAAGCACTTGCAAGGAAGGCTGTGCTAACCTTCATGGATAGCTGGGTTCCTTACTAGCGAGGCTTTTGTGTTGGCAGCTAGAAAAAGGGACCCACAATAAGAATGAACACTGCTACAAGCAACGTATGTTTGTAATGGCATATCCACCTGGATTTCCCAAGGCTTAGCTAGGGGCAATGACAATAGGTGAGAAATTTTTTTCTATATCTTGGCATTGCCTTCAAATTTATGCAAAGGAAATAAGCAGTTGAGTTGGGGATTAAATGCTACGGAGATATGATTTCTTTTCATGCTGGGATTTTTCTAGCCATTCTGCTGTCAAA